CAGTGTGCCAAATGCCTGCCCTGATAGTGAATTTTGAGCTGTCTCTAACATATCAGGAAACAGCCCCAAGAAAAAGTGAAGAAAGGATCTTCTATGGAGAAAGGATCTTCTATGAAGAAAGGATCTTCTTGGAGAAAATAGAAGATTAACATAGAATGGTTGAAAAATACTCCAAAGGATTGGGTCGATGTGTTTGTGAATTCACCTTTCACCGGTTTATTCCTGTGCTGCCCACCCCCCGACCCCTACTCCAATCACGCATGCATAGACATAGCTATCTAAAAGCAGTCACTAGGAACATAGTGGCCAGAGATCTGGTAAGTGATTCAGAGTCAAAGTGTGTGTTTGAGTTCCCGGGTAAAGTATTACTTGAATGTGTATCTTGGATGGCTGACCAAGTTCAGCCCAACTGACTATTCAGAGTTCCCTCAGGACCCTAGGCCTGATTCAGTTTTGTGTTCTGCTGAAGTGCGTAGGATTGAAGTGGGTGACGTAGGGATGTTAAACTGTGGATAGCTACCTATAACTTAGTTCACCTGATGTTATTCACTTTTGAATATTCCGAAAGTAAGATACAGCCTATAACCAATGAGTTGTAGTGAGGTAACTTCCTCTCAAGGACTGAGTCAGTGTCATATGTCAGAATCATGCCAATTTTACTGCCTTCTAGCCTCAATGTAATGTGAAAGATGTGAGCAGCAGAGAGTTGGTGCCTGGCAGTTTGGGAGAGGAGGAGAAAGAATACTGTAGTGATGGTTGAGCCACATGTGTGAGGGGTTAACTCTGATAGGCTCAAAAGTAGTCAGGAAGGGGATATGGAAAAGAAATATTTTGTGTGTATATGAATGTATATATGTGTACAGTTACATATTTATATATACAAGATTACTACAAAGAGGACATTGAAATGGAATCAGAAAGTAGTTTTGTTTTGGTACAGAAAAATTTTGAAAGCTATGCATATGAGGAGTTCTTCAAAAAGTTCATGGGAATGTGTATCAAAAAAGTATACATGGGGGCCAACGCTGTGGCATAGGTTATGCCTCTGCCTGCACTGCTGGCATCCCACATGAGTGCTGTTCGAATTTGGGCTGCTCCACTTCCAATCTAGCTCCCTAATACACCTGGGAAAGCAACAGAAGATGGTCCAAGTCGTTGGACCCCTGTACCCAAATGGGAGACCCAGAAGAAGCTCCTGGGTCCTGGCTTCAGATCAGCCTAGCTAAGGCCATTGCAGCCATTTGGGGAGTGAACAAGTGGGTGGAAGATTTCTTGCCCCTCCCCCATTTTCTATGTTTCAAATAAAAATAATAAATAAACCTTTAAAAAATATGGATTTCAATTTTTTTGTGTGAAAATAACCTTTCAATTCCATTTTCCATGAACTTTTTGAAGTACCCGCCTTCATATGTTTTCCTTGAACAGTTTCAAAATAAGTTAATAAACAAACATGTCAACTCTTTTTTTTTTGGACAGGCAGAGTTAGACAGTGAGAGAGAGAGACAGAGAAAAAGGTCTTCCTTCCGTTGGTTCACCTCCCAGATGGCCGCTACAGCTGGCATGCTGTGCCAATCCAAAGCCAGGAACCAGGTGCTTCCTGCTGGTCTCCCATGCGAGTGCAGGGCCCAAGCACTTGGGCCATCCTCCACTGCCTTCCCGGGCCACAGCAGAGAGCTGGCCTGGAAGAGGAGCAACTGGGACAGAATCCGGCACCCCGACCAGGACTGGAACCCGGTGTGCCGGTGCCTCGGGTGGAGGATTAGCCTAGTGAGCCACGGCGCCCGCCTGTCAACTCTCTTTTAAAAACACAAATGTTTAATCTTTTAAAAAAAGATTTAGGGTGGGGCCGGCGCTATGACGCAGTGGGTTAAAGTTCTGGCCTGAAGTGCGGCATCCCATATGGGTGCCAGTTCTAGTCCTGGCTGCCCCTCTTCTGATCCAGCTCTCTGCTATGGCCTGGGAAAGCAGTAGAAGATGGCCCAAGTCCTTGGGCCCCACACCCACGTGAGAGACCCAGAAGAAGCTCCTGGGTCTTAGTTTTGGATTGGCACAGCTCCGGCCATAGCGGCCATCTGGAGAGTGAACCACCGGATGGAAGACTTCTTTCTCTCTGTCTCTACCTCTCTCTGTAACTCTGTCTTTCAAATAAATAAAGTAAATCTTAAAAAAAAAAAAGGGGGGGGGAGGCCAGCGCCGTGGCTCGCTTGGTTAATCCTCTGCCTGTGGGTTGGCATCCCATATGTAGGCTGGTCTAGTCCCAGTTGCTCCTCTTCCGGTCCAGCTCTCTGCTGTAGCCCAGGAGGACAGTGGAGGATGGTCCAAGTACTTGGGCCCCTGCACTTGTATGGGAGACCCGGAAGAGGCTCCTGGCTCCTGGCTTCGGATTGGTGTAGCTCTGGCTGTAGCAGCCATTCAAGGAGTGAGCCAGCAGAGGGAGGACCTTTTTCTCTGTCTCTCTCTTTCTCATTGTCCTGTCAATTTAAAGAAAAAAAAAAAGATTTAGGGTGCCAGCACTGTCGTACAGCAGGTTAAAGCCCCAGCCTACAGCACCAGCATCCCATAAGGGAGCTGGTTTGATTCCCAGCTGCTCCACTTCTGATCCAACTCCCTGTTAATGTGCCTGAGAAAGCCGTGGAGGATGGTCCAAGTCTTTGGGCCCCAGATGAAGCTCCTGGCTTCTGCTGTTGTGACCATTTGGGGAGTGAACCAGTGGTTGGAAGACCTCTCTCTCTCTCTAACTGTTGCAAATAAATGGAATAAATAAAAAGAAAGATTTATTTATTTGAAAACCAGAGTGGCAGAAAGAGAAATCTTTTTGCTGTTTTATTTCTCAAATAGCAGCCAACACTTGGGGCTAGGCTAGGCCAAAGCCAGAAATGGAGAACTCCATCTAGGTGTACTTACCATGTACTTGAACCGTTATCTATTGCCTCCCAGGTACATTAGTAGGGAGTTAGAAGTGAAGTGCCCAGAACTGGAATCAGTACTATAATATGGGATGCTAGCATCCCAAGAAGCAGCTTAACAATGGCTGTGTCCCAGTGTCCACCCCAACTTTCTTTTTTTTTTTTTTTTAAGATTTATTTATTTGTTCGAAAGGTAGAGTTTATAGACAGAGAGAGAGAGGGAGACACAGAGAAAGAATTCTTCCATCCACTGGTTCACTTCTCAGATGACTACAATGGCCAGGGCTGGGCCCATCCAAAGCCAAGAGCCAGTAGCTTCTTTTGGGTCTCCCTCATGGGTGCATGAGCCCAAGCACTTGGGCCATCCTCTGCTGCTTTCCCAAGCATTAGCAGTGAGCTGGATCGGAAGTGGAGCAGCTCTGTGAAGCAACATGGAGAGATGATAAGATAGGAAAAACTGGGGTGAGTGGGAGGAAGTCAAATTGGTAAGCAGAGACAGTTTCCCTCAGGAGGTAAGATCTGTGAGGTGACCTGAAGGAAATGATAAACAGGTGTTTGAACATTGAGGCACAAGGTCCTCACACCCATAGCAATGATCTTTACATGTTAATCCGAAGTCAATTAATTACGGCTGCAATGTGAAAAGAAAGAATAACAGGCTCATTTTGTTATGTAGCTGCAGTACAATTAGGCAGTTCAGAAAGCTTCAGTTTCATATATTGCCTTCATCTAATCAATAGTATATATTTTGCCGGCACCGCGGCTCAATAGGCTAATCCTCCGCCTAGCGGCACGGGCACACCGGGTTCTAGTCCTGGTTGGGGCACCGGATTCTGTCCTGGTTGCCCCTCTTCCAGGCCAGCTCTCTGCTGTGGCCAGGGAGTGCAGTGGAGGATGGCCCAAGTGCTTGGGCCCTGCACCCCATGGGAGACCAGGAGAAGCACCTGGCTCCTGCCTTTGGATCAGTGTGGTGCACCGGCTGCAGCGCGCTGGCCGTGGCGGCCATTGGAGGGTGAACCAACAACAAAGGAAGACCTTTCTCTCTGTCTCTCTCTCTCTCACTGTCCACTCTGCCTGTCAAAAATAAAAAAAAAATTAAAAATTAAAAAAAATAGTATATATTTCAATTTTCCCCATTATTACTGTCCACTTTAAAGTTTTTCCCATCTAGAATCCAAACTGAAGGTCACAGGTTACTCCTGTTTTCTCTAGTCTGTTTCATTCTGGGACAAATTGCCCATATTTTTTTCAACACTATTGTCATTCATCCAGTATTAGGCCATTGTCTTGTTGAATTTATAAAATATTTATTTTATTTACATGAAAGGCAGAGTTAATAAAGGGAGAGAGAAATCAATCTTCAATCCATTGGTTTATTCCTCAAATGGTTACAATGGCCAGTAGTGGGCCCAACTGCAACCAGGAGCCTGGAACTCCATCCTGGTGTCCCATGTGGGTGGCAGGGGCCTAAGTGCTCAGGCCATCTTCTGATTTCCCAGGTACATTATCAGGTAGCTGGATCAGAAGTGGAGCAGATAGGAGTCAAGCCTGTCCTCATATGGGAAGTTAGTGCCAATAGGAAGTGACTTAACTCACTACACCACAATCCTGGCCCCAGATTTCTATATTTATGTTTTTGTGATTATTTACCTCTGATTAAATTCAGATAAAGGCCGACGCCGCGGCTCACTAGGCTAATCCTCCGCCTAGCGGTGCTGGCACACCGGGTTCTAGTCCCGGTCGGGGCGCCGGATTCTGTCCCGGTTGCCCCTCTTCCAGGCCAGCTCTCTGCTGTGGCCCGGGAGTGCAGTGGAGGATGGCCCAGGTGCTTGGGCCCTGCACCCCATGGGAGACCAGGAAAAGCACCTGGCTCCTGGCTCCTGCCATCGGATCAGCACGGTGCGCCGGCCGCAGCGCGCTGGCTGCGGCGGCCATTGGAGGGTGAACCAACGGCAAAGGAAGACCTTTCTCTCTGTCTCTCTCTCTCACTGTCCACTCTGCCTGTCAAAAAAAAAAAAAATTCAGATAAAATAATTTTGTTTTCTTTTTTTACAAGAATTTTCCCCAAGTGCCAGTGCTTTTCTTCTCTTGCAGATCATCTGTTTGTCTTCTCATCATTGATTCTGGTGGTAAGCCCCAGATTCTCTGCATCTCTGCATCATAAAGGTATTTATTTTTTCTCTTTGCAATTAAAATTGCAGTTCCAAGGGTAATATTTTAAGACTGTGGATGTCCTATTTGCTCATAAAATTTCCTCAATAGTTTTTATGTTTCTGATTATTTTTGCCAGAATCATTTATAATATGTTTTCAAATCCAGTAGATTTTTGGTATTAAAAATTATGTCTCACCCGCAGGGATGATTGTTCCATTAGACCTGTGGCTACTTTCTTGAAGAAGAAAGTCATTATGCTGAAGTCCAGATGTGCTAACCTGTGGTGGGGCTATAAGCTTTGAATTCTTGTTCTCTAAGCTGAGAAGCGGGAGACTAAGTAAGATTCCAGTGACTGCTCTCAGAGTGCCCAGGAACTGAGACCTGAAGCTGGTCAGTCTTGAAGGACCTGGAGGGATTCCCATCTCACTCTTGAGCTCTGAGATGGCCTTGTCACAAGGTCTCGCCTTACCCACCACCTCTGTTCGTGACTCAGTGGAGTTTGAGACAGCACTGGCAGACCTCCAGGTGGAATCTGGCTGTCCTATCTGTCTGGATTATTTGAAAGATCCAGTGACACTCATCTGTGGGCACAACTTCTGTTACTCCTGCCTCAGTTTTTCCTGGAAGGATCTAGATGATTGTTTCCCTTGCCCTGTCTGCCGATTTTGCTTTCCAGAAAGGAACCTCAGGAAGAACCCCCAGCTCCGTAATTTGATTGAAGTTGCTCAGCTTCTTCAGATCAGAAGGAGCAAGAGAAAGAGGCAGGAAGAAAGGCCTATGTGTGAAAAGCACAATCAATTTCTGACCCTTTTCTGTGTGAAGGACCTAGAGATTTTATGTACACAGTGCAGTTTCTCTACCAAACACCGCAAGCACTACATTTGCCCCATTAAGAAAGCTGCTGCTTACCACAGGAAAATCCTAAAATGTAGCATTGAGCCCATGAAGAATAATGTGGAACGAGTTGGAAAGGTGATAGCCCTGCAGTGCAGGAAATCTGTGGCACTGAGGAAGAGGGTGAAACGCAGGAAACAGGAAATACATTGTGAATTTGTGCAAAGTAGGCTGTTTCTACAGCATGAGCAAGAGGTTATTCTGAGACAGTTACGAGATGAAGAGATGAACATTTTAGCCAAACTTCATGAAAACATTGTAACATTTTCAGGGCATGTTTCTACATTAAAACATCTGCTGAGGGATGTGGAGGGCCAGTATATGAAGCCAGACTTGGAATTACTCACCCATGTCAAGAGTATCCACCACAGATATCAAAACCTAAAACACCCTGAACTCTTCACATTCAGTTTAAAGAAGTATGGTTTTAGGCTTCCTGTGCAGTATTCTGGCTTAGACAGAATTATTAAGCAATTTCAAGTAAATGTGATTTTAGATCTCAACACAGCGCACCCTCATCTTCTTATCTCTGAGAACAGAAAAGCTGTGCAGTATGGAAGAACAAAGCAAAACGTTTGCTATCACCCAAAGAGATTTTATCTGTGCCCTGCTGTCCTGGGTGCTAACCAGTTTAGTTCTGGAAGATATTACTGGGAGGTGGAAGTGGGAAACAAACCTAAATGGACATTGGGTATATGTCAAGGCTGTCTTCCTAGGAATTGGCGGAATCAGCCCTCAGTCCGAGATGGCTTCTGGGCAGTTGGGCGATGCACTAAGAGTGGATGTGTTGCCTTGGGTCCCAGGAGAACCCAGCTTCTACCAGTAGCAGGGCCCAGGAGAGTTGGTATTTTCCTAGATTATGAATTGGGTGAGGTTTCCTTTTATGATATGAGTGACAAGTCTCTTCTCTGTACTTTTCAAGATTCTTTTACTGAAGCTGTTTGGCCATATTTCTGTGTTGGAACAGATTCTGAACCTCTTAAAATCTTACCAGTTCCAGATCATGAAAGATAAAGAGCATGGTGGTTAATGATTCTGTTTTAGTTAATAGGGATAACTTAGTAAATTTTAATTTTGTTATTTCTGGAATCCTTTAACATTTTCCCACTGAAAACAAAAATAGATTTTTTCTCTTATTTTCAGCAACTAGAGAAAATGTGATAGTAATGTAAATTTCATAGATGTTATAAATATCAACTGTCAAGTTGTTTGAATTCCAATATAAAAGATTTGAAAATTAACATGCCCAATAAAATATTTTGATTTATAATGGCCCATTAGATTCTTTTTAAAAATGATGTCAGTCCTCTGAAGTTATATAAATTGTTACTTAAATGTCATGCTTATATGTACGGACCTACTGTTATGCTTACATACATGGACCTACTAAATACTGGATTCTTCTGTTTACCCCCATATATATCATTAGATGTTTCTGCTCTTTTAATGTGTATATCAGTTGTCACGCTTGCCTTATTTCTGTGGAAAATAAATTTTAAACTTGTATACTCTTTTCCCACACACTTAATACCTGTACAAAGCCATATTTCTGACTTCACGCCTACTTTTTATAAAGATTTATTTATTTGAAAGAGTTACAGAGAGCCAGAGGCAGATAGAGACAGAGAGAGAGAGAGAGAGGTCTTCCATCCACTGGTTCACTCCCCAGATGGCCACAATGGCTGGCGCCCTTCTGATTGGAAGCCACAAGCCAGGAGCTTCTTTTGGCTCCCCCATGTAGGTGCAGGGGCCCAAGGACTTGGGCCATCTTCTGCTTTCCCAGGCCATAGCAGAGTGCTGGATCAGCACCAGGACTTGAACTGGTGCCCATATGGGATGCCAGCACAGCAGGCGATTGCTTTACCTGCTGTACCACAGCACCGGCCCCCACTCCTTTTATTTTTCCCATAACTTACTACTTCAGTTGCTAACTTCCTTGCCATTTGGCTGTGGCTATTCACCCTGAAATGCCCCACCCCTGCTATTTGCAAGTCTGACTCCCTCACCGTGTACTTTTGTTCAGATTCCACGTTTCCCTAAGATGCCTACCCTGGTCAGCCTGTCTCCCATAGCTAACCTTCCCCTGCCCATAGCACTCCCATGCCCTTGACATCTATCTACTTTTTGTCTTGACCATAGCATTTGATCAGCATCCAACATCCAACTCTTTATTATTTTATTGTCTACTATCTCTCCTTAATGCTGCTTGAGGAGAAGAATCTTTGTTTTGCTTGTCTTGTATAATTCTAGGCTGATGGTATTTGATTATTCAATAGAGCAGAGTAAAAAAAAGTTCAGAACAGTAGGAATAAAAAAAGATCTTTAAAGAAATACAAGCAACAGTGGTACCCAAAGTATCAAAAGTGAGACTGGTTTCATATTTATCAAAACCACCGTGTTTTCAAAATTATAAGGACGTCAGATGTAGAAGCGTATATTTGGTTTAATGATCACATAAATATGGGTAGAAAAGAATCATTTTCAGACATGCAGAATCCCTCAAACTTGACAACACTGCAACATTTGAGATGATGACACTTGAAAAAATAAAGAGGAAGGCATAGGGTCAACCAGGAAATCCAAAAGCAGAGAGATCAGGTCCCAGAATAGTGGTGATTAGAAGGCTGATAGCTTTACAGGCCTAAAGTAGGTTTTCCAGATTGGAATGTGACAGCCAGAATGATGCTCACAAGGGGGAAAAACCCTTAGATCAATTGGCCATATACTGATAAAAACATAAGATAAAGATATAGGAGATTGCATAATATAAAAAGAGCAGATGAACAGCATGCATATGAAAAGGTATTAGTAGAAGTGGGCATTTGGCCCATCTGTTAAGACTGCTGTATCCTATATGAGTGCTGGTTCCAATTCTGGCTGCTCCACTTCTGTTCCATCTCCTTGCTAATGGGCCTGGCAAAGCAGCAGAAGATGGCCCATTTGTTTGGGTCCCTGCCACGTGTGGGAGACTAAAATGGAGTTCCAGGTGCCCGATTTTAGCTGTTGTAGCCATTTGGGGAGTGAACCAGCAGATGGAAGATTCTCTTCCCATCGCCAACATAATTGTCTTTCATATAAATATTTTTTTTTAAAAAAGCTCCTGCATCCTGTGGTGTTAAATGCCAGGCTCCAGCTCTATTTCCAGCTTCCTTGGAAAGTAGTGGAAGATTGCCCATAGCCCTTGGGCCCCTGCACCCACATAGGAGACCCGGAGGAATACCAACCCCCTACTTGGGGGCTTTTTATGACATGGATTTCTGGGCTCTACTGACCTACCTCCAGAGCTCCTGATACAGTTGTTTTGATGAGTATCATAAATTTTGTGTCTTTCTGATGCCTCTGGTCCAGGGACCACATTTGAGAACAACTGTTCCAGATGACTGCTTGGGATAAACATCCTCACAGGGTCCTCTTCATGTCTCTATTTCCTGCTCCACTAAAATTGTTCTTAATAGGGGCCGGCGCCGTGGCTCACTTGATTAGTCCTCCACCTGCAGCGCCGGCATCCCATATGGGCACCAGTTCTAGTCCCGGCTGCTCCTCTTCCAGTCCAGCTCACTGCTGTGGCCGGGAAGGCAGTGGAGGATGGCCCAAGTGCTTGGGCCCTGCACCTGCATGGGAAACTGGGAGGAAGCACCTGGCTCCTGGCTTTGGATCGGCGCAATGCCGGCCATAGCAGCCATTAGGGGAGTGAACCAACGGAAGGAAGACCTTTCTCTCCCTCTCTTCCCTCTGTCTCTCCCTCTCACTGTCTGTAACTCTACCTGTCAAATAAATTAAAAAAAAAATTGTTCTTAATAGCTACATCAGGGTCCAAGTTTGCAAGCCTCCAGGCCAGCTTCTACCCCTGTTTCAATCCTGCTTTTCAGTCTGCTCTGTGTCTTCACGTGTACCATCTGCACAACTTGTGAGTGCCTTTCTGTTCTGGACTGTTTTTCCAGGGATGTTTGTATGATTTGGAAGGCAGAGGGCATGTGTGGGTGTTCGGTGGCGTAAGAAAGATGCTGCTTCCCTTTGGGGTCAAGGTTGAGCAGGGGTTGCCTGCAGCCCATAAGAAGGGATCAGGATACCCTGGTGTGAGTCTCCTCAATTGTGATGCTTGCCTGCTATGCACACAGCACCCATCCAGCCCCTTACCCATTGGATTGTGAAACAGGAAGTTGGTAACACCACAAAGCTATACTGCCTGTTGTGCAACTAGTAAAAAGTGTTTGCCTCTGTTCCAATGTTATCATGTCTTCTGCTGCCGTTCATGAAGCAGTAGGAGCTAACTGGGGAGCTCGTAAATAAGATGCATTCTACGATGCTCCACATTCTTAACACCCTCACGTCTCTTACATCAAAAACTTAGGAGAGTTTATGCCCTCAGGTCTGGACTTGTAAATGCCCTTTACCAATTAAAGGAGCAGGATGTCTAGGAGAAGTGGTTTCTCCTTGGTCTGTGACCAGGAAAGAACAATATGAGACCAGAACCCCTTGGATGACAGAGCAAGAATATGCCCAAGGGGCCGGTGCTATGGTGCAGCTGGTTAAAGCCCTGGCCTTCAGCACCGGCATCCCATGTAGGCGCAGGTTCGAGTCCTGGCTGTTCCACTTCCAGCTCCCTGCTGATGTGCCTGGGAAAGTAATGGAGGATAGTCCAAATGTTTGGGGCCCTGCACCCATGTGGGAGGCCTGGAAGAAGCTCCTGGCTTCAGATCGGCCCAGCTCTGGCCATTGTGGCTATTTGGGGGAATGAACCAAAGGCTGGAAGACCTCCCTTTCTCTCTTTCTGTCTCTACCTCTTTCTAAAACTCTCAAATAAATAAAATAAATCTTTAAAAAAAATATGCTCAAACACTGGCGAGTACTAGTCACAAGGACACAGACTCCAGCTGAGTGGACTCAGCCAGCTAAATTTGGAATTCTTTGGGTCTCCCAAACAAGGCTAATGGATTACAGCACATGAATCTCATGTATGAGTTCTTGTTTTAAAGATTTATTTATTTGAAAAGTGATGTGGTTAGGGCGTGGGGGAAGGAGATTTTCCATCTGCTGGTTTACTCTCCAAAAACCTGAAACAACTGGAGCCAGGCCATGCTCAAACCAGGAGCAGGAACTCCATCCAGGTCTACCCACATGGGTGGCAGGAACTCAGGTACCTGAGTCACCATCTGCAGTTTCCCAGTAGCATTAGCAGGGAGCTGATTTGGAAACAAAGTAGCCAGAACTCAAGCTGACACTCTGGTATGGAATTCAGGTGACTAAGTGGTAGTTCAACCTGCTGTGCCATACCACCCACCCCCCCCCTTTTTTTTTTTTTTTTTTTTTTTGACAGGCAGAATGGACAGAGAGAGAAAGGTCGTCTTTTTTCCGTTGGTTCACCCTCCAATGGCCGCTGTGGCCGGCGCACCGCGCTGATCCAGAGCCAGGAGCCAGGTATTTCTCCTGGTCTCCCATGGGGTGCAGGGCCCAAGCACCTGGGCCATCCTCCACTGCACTCCCTGGCCACAGCAGAGAGCTGGCCTGGAAGAGGGGCAACCGGGACAGAATCCGGTGCCCCGACCGGGACTAGAACCCAGTGTGCCGGCGCCGCATGGTGGAGGATTAGCCTAGTGAGCTGTGGCGCTGGCCCACCCACCCTTTAATGTGTAATTTCTAATTGGCAGGAAGGAAAAGTAAAGCTTTTCTTTACTGATTGCTGGCAATTAAATGTCAGGGTACAAAATTAGAGAACAACCATTTGCTACCTATAATGTGATCACGGAGTCCAGCAAGAATCATCATTGGTTGTTAAAGCCTTTGGGAAAATGTTAGGGAACAGAATATTCACTCCAAAACTCCTTTTAATTATGAAGGGTAAAGGGACCTTTATACTGGAGATAGGTCTCAGACACCTCTGAGCAAAGTGATCTAACTGACACTGTGTGTACCTCTAATGTGAGACAGTGGGAAGAACACAATGCTGTCTGTGTAATATGAGAGTACTTCAAACAAAAAAATTCATAGAAAATGCAATAAAAATGTTTTAAAAAATTGAAATGCACAGAAAATTTATAAAAAAAAAACTATTTGAATGGCAGAGAGACAGACACACACAAGTATCTCCCATCTGTTGATTCATTCGCCAAATGCTTGCAATAGCTGGGGCCGAGCCACACTGAAGCCAGGAACCAAGAACTCAATCTAAGTCTCCCATATGGGTGGCAGGGAGGGACCCAACCACTTGGGCCATCACCAGCTCCCTCCAGGGTACACATAAGCAGGAGGCTGGAACCAGGAACGGGAGGAGACTAAAATCCAAGCATTCCGATATGGAATGTTGGCATTGCAAGCAGCATCTTAACCACTGCCCCAAATGTCCACCCCAGTTTTTCCATGATGTGCATTTGCCATGCTCTTTGCAAACCCCTCATAGACATGTCTTTCCAAAAATTTTTGCATCTAAATAAATTTTAATTCTATTTTCCATAAAAAATTTAAAAGTGTTACTGTATTCTGGCCTAAAGCATTTAACCTGAATTTGATCATGAGGAAATGACTAGGTGAATCTGCAGTCTGACACAGTCGACAAACACAGACAACTGTCCTGTAGTCTTCATAGAAGTGATTGGTTCAGCACTTAAGCTGCCAGTTGGGACACCCACTTCCCACATCTGAGTGCCGCAGTTCAAGTCCCAGTTCTGCTTCTGATTCCAGCTTCCTGCTAATACAAAGCCTGGAAGGGATTAGGTGATGGCTCAAGTAGTTGGGTTCCTGCTAACTACATGGGAGATGTGGATTGAGTCCCTGGCTCCTGGCTCCTGGCTTTGGCCTGCCACACCTCTGAATATTGCCAGCATTTGGAGACTGAACAAATAATAACTAAGTAAGTAAAAAATTTCTTTAAAGATTTATTTCTGGGGCCGGCGCTGTGGTGCAGTAGGTTAAATCTCCACCTGCGGCGCCAGCATCCCATATGGACGCTGGTTCTAGTCCCGGCTGTTTCTCTTCCAATCCAGCTCTCTGCTGTGGCCTGGGAAAGCAGAAGATGGCCCAAGTCCTTGGGCCCCTGCACCCGCATGGTGGACCAGGAAGAAGCTCCTGGCTCCTGGCTTCAGATCGGCGTAGCTCCGGCTGTTGCAGCCATCTGGGGAATGAACCAACGGAAGGAAGACCTTTCTCTCTGTTTCTCCCTCTCACTGTCTGTAACTCTACCTCTCAAATAAATAAATAAAATCTTAAAAAAAAGATTTATTTCCTTGAAAGAATTACAGAGTTGGGGTAGAGAGGGTAGGGCGGGGGAGAGAGATCTTCCATCCACTGGTTCACTCCCCAAATGGCTGCAATGGCTCCGGCTGGGCCAGGCAGAAGCCAGGAGCCAGGAGCTTCTTCCAGGTTTCCTATATGGGTGCAGGGGCCCAAGGACTTCTGCCATCCTCCACTGCTTTCCCAGGCACAGTAGCAGGGAGCAGGATCAGAAGTGGAGCAACCGGGCCTCAAACCGAACCTGCGCCCATATAGGATGGCAGCACTGCAGATGGTGGCTTAGCCTGATGTGCAACAGTGCTGGCCATAGGAAGTAAAAATTTTTAAAAAGTGAACTTCATGAAAGGCAAGCAGGAGGAACAGAGCATTCTCCTAGATTAAACATGATTTGGGGTGTGTGGATATTTTCATTATATTGATTATACTGTCATACACTACTTTTGTCAACACTCATGAGACTGCACATATAACTTGTACTTCATTGTCAACTCTACCTCAGTGAAGCTGTTTAAAAACAGCAGGTGAAATGTACTAGATGGGGCCAGCGCTGTGGCGCAACGAGTTGACGCCCTGACCTGAAGCGCTGGCATCCCATTTGGGCACCGGTTCTAGTCCCGGCTGCTCCTCTTCTGATCTGGCTTTCTGCTGTGGCCTGAGATAGCAGCAGAAGATGGCCCACGTCCTTGGGCCCCTGCACTCATGAGGGAAACCCGGAAGAAGCTCCTGGCTCCTGGCTTCAGATTGACACAGTTCCGGCTGTTGCAGCCATCTGGGGAGTGAACCATCGGATGGAAGACCTCTTTCTCTCTCTCTCTGCCTCTCCTCTCTATGTAACTGACTTTTGAGTAAATAAATA